GCATCAGAAACAGTCAGGATTAACCAGGTTATCTAATGGCATGGAGTACGGTTCAAATAGGGGGACCTGCTCCCCCCACTGCTGCTTGCTTATCTTCCCTCGTCCATCAGGCAGCGGGGATGTGCGCATGCTATTAGTGGAGATGGGTGGTGGAAGAGTGATCCATCAGATCGTCACCATAGAGACACTAGCTGATCTCTCTGGGCACCTGGAGTGTCTCTGTCTGTGCACAATGCAGGGGACTGATTATCACTTCCTCCCCTGCTGGAAAGTTAATCATACATTGACCCCCAGGATTACGGTTACTCTTTTTACTCCATTATGGTTACTTTAGTCTTTAGTTTTGTTATACTGCTCTTTTGCTCAAAGTCTGCACTTCTTGTCTGTTCTTGTCTGTTACTAGCATTTTGACTATACGATTTAAACAGAATACCTTTGTGTTTAAGTGTTTTTCATAATTTATCCAGCTGGTGAAACTATTTGCGCCGATCGCAAAGTTTGCTTTCCAAAGAAAAGTTACATACACTCCTGTTTGCATATCCATGACTAGTCAAACAGCTAAGTTTGTCTGCCTTTCAGTTATGATTCAGGGATCTTGCCAGGTGTGTGTGTTTAATTGGATGCTTTCATTATTTCCATTCTTGATAGCATTGGGAAATTAGACAGGTGCTTTGTCATGGTTAGACACATCCAAATTTCTCCTGTCTGCAGACACATGTCTGTACACAAGCATCTGCACTCAGAGGGCATTTTTCAGTCTGCTGTTTTTAGTTCCAGTTTAATAGTAAATGTGGGCTATACTTACGTTTTACAGTCCACTATCTTCAGTACTTACTCAAGAAACTACCTTACGTAATTTCACTGAATTATCTGTTTTATATCTGTCGCTTGTATTCAAAGACTCTAAAGAGTGACGGAACATTTCATTATGCAGCTTCAGTTTTGAACTTTTACATTAGTATAGTGGCTTGTACAGTCAAACAGATAATGGTTTTTGTGGTGTTTGACATTTCAGGTGCAAAAGCTACAGCTCCAGACCAAGATTTTGTTTCTACTAACCAGTTGAGTCTGACTGTGACTCTTTATGCTCAACTGGCTGGTAGAAACAAAATCTTGGGCTGGATTTATAGCTTCTGGACCTGAAATGCCCAGTACTGGCTATTTGTCTCTCTTAAGGGTACAACATTTAATTATCTTATTTGCTCTTTTACGCCACCTGCTGTCCTATTTGGTGAATGAAGTATATTTAGGTCTTACGAGAAACTGATTTATAAGGAGGAGTGAAAAGTTTTGATGTTACAAATTTTTAAATGTCTAGATATCACAGACACACACACACACACACACACACACACACACACACACACACACATATATATATATATGTTTGCACATGGACAATGTGAACACTTTGAATACATCTGGGTTGTCAGCTCTGATGAAGGAAATGAAAGCACTGGTTATGTCATCTGCTTGCTAATCCCTGCCACACAGGCTGCAGTTCATGGGAGGCTAATCTCATCTAAACCATCTAAACTTGGTTCACAGGGCCCTGTATACATGTATAGCTATTTTTTTTGTTTTACACGTGTGGGGCAGCAACTGCATTAAATTGCCTATTTTGTAAGTATACAAATTGAATTTATATAGCATGGGACATTTACCATTTGTTTTAATCAGACTTTGGGCTTTATTACTATTAATTTCCCTAGGATAATAGGAAGTAGGATAATACATTCAATGAAATTTATGTTTTCAAAACTGGGCATTTAGTAGCTTCTTTAGCGAACACTAACTTTGAATGTTAAATGCTGAGCAGTTCTCTGCACATTACAAGGACAAAATGTTCTGTCTGTGACTTGTCTTTCAGAAGCAGTGATTAGAGCGTGTAAATGTGCGTTGAGACAGTACTACGTCTATCATTTCTCTCTCTGCACAGCTGGAATCCAGTGAGTTTAACAGAGACTGCTATTTTCAAAACTCCTTCAAGTATCACTAGATTTTTTCCCCTCACAAATGAGGTGTCTTGTTAGCCTTGCTGCAGACTTTTTGCCTGCATGCAAGTTACACGTATCTATCTTTGTCTGGTTTCTTGAGAAATCCGCGTAGTATTTATGAGAATTTTAGTGGTTTAGCAGATGGCAGTGTGTTTAATCCCTGTAGCCCTGACCAGGATAAGTGGTTAGAAGATTGATGGGAGATATAATGCAGTCTGTAGCACTAATATTAATGGAAGGCACCATGATAACTTCTGAAGGAAGGGATCGTATAAATGTGCATAATTATCATTATGATAACATACTTATCCCTCATCACTAAAGTGGATAGTGCAGCTACAGTCTCTCTATGGCTTGTATTGATGTCTTGTTGAAAGGCATCATTTGTTCTCTAATAGACATTGATTTGAATATTAACAAGACGGCTTTGTGAAGTCTGTTTTTGCAATGAAGAGCAACTGAGGAATTGAATATACATTGCAGTAAAAACAAAGAATAACGCTCTAGGTGGGAGCAATGTTACAAAACCCACCCCAGTGTTCTGACAGCACAGGTGTGCAGCCATTCATGCAAACGCACTTTGTCTCAATAAACAGCTTACTGTTTTTTTCTGTAATTATTTTTGACAATGAAATGCTGCTATTCCAGCTGTCTCTCCCTTATGCTGCCGTTATCAGTCTTGAGCGAATGTCAAACCCGACATCTGATTGCGATCCTCCACAATTCTCATTATCCACATACTAAGCAGGGATGTCAAAATCATGGAATTTAAAACATAATCATAAGGCTGCTACATATTTATGGGCTACCCATTGAATGTGTATCAATATTTGTACTAATGTCAGTCATAGGCTCTGGGGAAACCCGTATTTTGATAAGCAGTTATATTTGTGTGGGCTAAAGTCTATCACTGAACAGTAGTATTTTAGTGAATTACTGCTGCTTAAGTTACTAGTTTTCCCCATCTTCTGGATAACCTTTTAATTCACGTATAGGTATTTTTTGTTAAAATGAATCACAAGTAGTGCAGTGTGTAATGGGTGTATGGACATTACATGGAGATGGGACTTGCATCGTGCACTGAGCACTCAGAGTGGATGGAAAGGCTGCTGTGGGACTGGAGACTGAGAGCATGACTCCACAGGCTGTGTTTACGTGACTCCAATGATTAAGGCATGAAGTAATTGATAGTCTTTCATCCTGCAATCTTTGAGTGCTCTGCAGTTGAGGACCTAGCACTCGACATCCATTTTCAGCGTAAGTTGTAATGGAATCTTAAGCTGTTTTGAAGGAGTAATTGCTTGATAAGAAAAGCCTTAACGAAGTATGTTGGCCAGTCCCTGGGTTCCAGAAGATGATACCCCTAAAGATGCAGTGTTTCCATGAATGTTCTGGGATGGCCTTTTTTAGGCTCCTGTCTGCGCTGCTGGTTCCCAGTCCCATTCATGTACTGGGTGTATACCTGACTTCTTCCATACTGTTCAGACTTATAAAAACCATGCAAACCATGAAATTAATGTGTGTGTGTGTGTGTGTGTGTGTGTCTGTAGGTGTGGGTTTGTGTTTACCATATTATCTCCACAGATGTCCCCACAATGTGGTAATACCTGTTACTTTTTAGCTGGTGGGGACATTTTTCTGGTCCCTATAATATAAACATCAATTTTATAAAAATATATGAATGCAATCAAAACACTAAAATAGCCATTTTGTTTGGTTACTTTTGGTTAAGGTCGGGGCTGGGTAAAGGTTAGGATTATGCCCATAGAAATGAATGGAGAATTCCCACAATGACAGGAGTATATGAACTATGTGCGTGTGTCTGCGTGTGTGTGGTGTGTGTGCGTGTGTGTGCTGGTTTAGGGCCTGCTCAACTTATCTACCAGCTCTTTTTATTGCAGCTCCCAAAAGTTGATATTTTTTTGAGTAAAGCCCTGGACTTGGGTGGCATACAGCTCAGTAGGTTGGGGATCCCGTCCCCATGACGGGAAAGTTGTGGGCTTGAATCCTGGCAGAGTAAAAATATTTCTGTTGGGAGGTTGAGTAAGACCCTTAACCCAAGGGCTGCTGAATCTGGTTGTGACCATTTTCTCTGATTCCAGGTTATATGTTGCTTTCGACAGTAGCTTCTGCCATGTAAATGATTGTTGACTTTTGTGCATTCCTAATAATCTTTTTGGAAATGGTAACTTTGCATTTTTGATACTGATGCATGGCAATATAAACCCAGTTCTGACAGTTGTTCTTTGGACTGCTTTTGAAGCAAAACGTTTCTGAAAAGAAACTCAAAAGAAAAACAATACCTTTAATTGCTCAATTTCCATCCAAAAAAACCCAAAAATGTTATTTGATGATGGTTACTTCTGGAAAAAAATCCTTTTTTTTTTTTTTGGTTTTCATAGTTATGTTTAGAACACTTTCCGCAGTGTTTCAAGTCACATGTCTGGGGTAGGAGGATGTGCAGTAATTCAGGGCCTGGAACTGCCTGTGTGATTGTTAATTTGACAAACTGGATGTGTTTTTCTTTTATCTTTATTGCAGATAAGTTCAATGCCTATGTGACTCTGAAGGTTCAAAATGTCAAAAGTACAACCATCGCAGTTCGTGGAGACCAGCCATGCTGGGAGCAGGACTTCATGTTGTAAGTAAACTGACATACCCCTCATTTACCTCTTCATGCTTTCACGGTCTTTTGTTTTTAGCTTTCTTTATTGTGAATTATTATTATTATTATTATTATTATTATTATTAGTAGTAGTAGTAGTAGTAGTAGTAGTAGTACATTACATGCCAAGTTGGAATTACGTATGGAAGTCATACCAACTGCAATGTTTTCAGTTCTGTTTAAGCTGATTCCTGTCTGGTTTTTGCCCTGTATCATGAGCCCCATAGGCTTTCTGCTCTGCATGGAGTAAATTGTCCCTAAAGTGTTCAGTGGGTCTCCATGCGAGGGGACGAGTTTCTAAACAGAACGGTGTAATGCTGTATATGTTCCATGAGGGGCACATGCCATTGTTCTTTTGTTGGCGCATTGTCTCCTGGGACACTGTAAACAAGGCAAAATAATGGATTGTTCCAAATAATGAGAGCCTTGCTATCTGTGCACTGAAGCAGATGGTGGGTGTCTGCAGTTTAAAGGTTCTTTCTCATAGGAAGCTCAGCTTAAGTAAACAAATTCTGTCATATGCATCTTGGTTTTGAATGAGATTATTCAGCATACACTGTCGTCGTTTTCTAAAACTAACTCATTTTGAACCTTTCGATAATAATGGTTGTTTGACTATACATTTCTGTCATAGAAATAGCTACAGGAGAGCATGGGGGTGGAGCCTATCCAGGCAGCACAGGGCAGAAGGCTGGAGTGCATCCTGAATGGGATGTCACTCCATGGCCGGACACATGCATGCATACATATAATCATTCTCTATAGGACAACACCAATTACCCCATGTATGGTGTCGCGTTACTTTATTTGCTTTGATTACATTTTTATGGTATTGTTCATTAATCATATTGATAAAAGCAGCATTATTTCAATGCAAAAAACACCAAATTCATTCATTCATTCGTACATTAATTAACCACACTTTTACTGTGACTTGAAAATTAGCATCTTGATGATATTCTTGATACTGATTCTAATAATATTACCTTTTGTGTTTTATATCTCTGGTAAATTGTTGGGTTGTTTTTAAGTCTTTGTTGTCCTCCTGGTATGAAATCCATGCTTATTTAGAGTCAGCTTCAAGCCTGTCCTGAATGCTGAACCATCGCAGGCCAACTTCAACCGCTTGATCAATAATAATGTTTATCCCTTTAAAAAGAATTTAATAGCTTTTCAGCTTGCTGTGCAAAGCAGTAGTTAGAGCAGAGAGTTATGTCAGTGTTTTCCTTTTGCGTGGCTTACTTATCTTTGTAAACATGTGTACAATAGGTATTAAGGGAAAGTACATGTGACTGCAGTCAGATGTGTTTTCTTGGGGATAATGTCGAGAGCAAGAATGTGATTCATACTATCCCATAACCTTGCTATGCACCCTTGCTATTCACTTAGGAGTTTGAAAGTAGTACTGTTTTTATGGATTAATGCTGAAAAATTTTATCTCTGAGGTTTTGAATGGTTAAACATGGTTTAATGCTCTCTTTTTCAGACACACACACACACACACACACACACATGCACGCACATGCTCAGTTGAGAGCAGCGCATTGGCAGCTGAAAGTGAAAATGGAGCCCGCAGTCATTATCTTGTGAACACCCCAATCTGCCATGTAAACATTCCGTAGATCTTTTTCGCAAACTTCCCAGGGGCATTGTACAGATCACTGGTCCTAAAAGTGTGGGGCGCAAGACGATTTTCTGAATATTTTATAATAAAGTTTGTATGGATTTATTTTTGTCGCTATCCTCCTTCTTGGGCATATCTTATTGGTAGCAATCTTATAGCCACTCGGCGAAATGTATCGTGCGGAGAGAACTTAAGTTTCTTTCTTAAAGGGGTGGGGAGAGTGGCAGGTACCTTTTAATAATATTTTCTTTAGAAAATATTATTAAATATATAATATGCTATTTTTGGTTGGCATAATTAATCGTGGGTGACCTCAGCTTGGCTAAATTTATCATGGAGCAATTAAGCCATGTCATTTCACGCTAACCCAGTCCAACCCATTCCAGTCCAGTCCACTCCAGTCAGTGGTGACACATGAAAGAACAGGCATGGATCTGGTGAATCTAATTACATTAAGACAAGTCGCACAAAGTGCTCCAGGGTTGCTGGATAAATGGCGTTACCATGCACTTGGACGCCATGAATATTTGAGCAATTGGATGGGCCACTCGACCATCCTCAGAGTGTGGATGATTCATTCTCACTGCCATCATGCATTTTTGATAACCCTCTGGGCCCAGGTGGGCTTCTTGTCATACTGAGTTATGAGTAAATGTACAAAGGCTCATCCTGAAATCAATTTCTCCCCTGATGGTGAGGAACGTTTTTTTTTTTTTTTTTTTTTTTTAAGGACTGCTGTGAAATGGTGGTTCAGTGGTTAGCACTTCTAGGACCTGGGTTCGAACCTCATGGCTTGATGTGCGTGGAGTTTGTATGCTCTCTCCGTGTCATTGTGGGGTTTCCTCCCACAGTCCAAAAACACGCTGAGGTTAATTGGAGTTATGAAATTGCCCATAGGTGTGCATGCATGTGTGAATGGTGTGAGTGTGCCCTGCGATGTGTTGGTGGCCCATCCTGGGTTATGTATATATAGAATATTCCCTTTGTGTCTTCCTGGAAAAGTGTCAACAGGTTGAATTTGACACATCTAGTTGTCTTCATTTATTTATGCAACAAGAGTTGCAGCTGAGTTTTTCTTAGGTTATTCACATCATGTCATTTGTTTGTCATTATTGTTTCTTGTGTAGATAGCCAGTTGACGCAAGTTCTTTAAGCTTTGTTTTATAGATATTGACCCATATGTTCATTATTCATTCTATTCTGGAGGCCGTCACATGTTTCTTTGGATAAAGATCAACACATAGCAAATATACCAATAAGGATCAGTCTTTCTATGTAATGTTGGGCTTTATCTTTTACAAATGCTTTTTTAAAGCAACATTAATACATCCTCTAATTATCCTTTCAAAATGTATATATTAGGTGGCTTTCACAAGAATTCCTAATGTCTGTGCCATGAACAGCAAATAACTTCTTGTTATTTGTTAATATTTTATGTTGTGCTCTGAGGATTTGAAGCTAACAATCTGATGTTTATGTAATAATAAAATCTGGAAACCTCACTTGTATTTCATGATCAAAGGTACTTACTGTATACACCTGATGTTCTTAAAATCATATTTTTTTTACTAAATGGGTTGAAAAGACATTTTTAAATACATATGAATGTGTTCATTCTTAGTGACCATTCCACACACCTATAATGCTCGCATTTAGGGGTCAGTTTACACGCACACTAAGAAAATCGAATAGTTGTGTTAGTCTGACTAAAAACAGACTTTTGAAGTACATGTAAACTAGGGTGACCAGATAATCCATGTCAGGGAGGACACTCTGAGCTAGGACAGGAATTGTAAATTACCATTTCAATTAAGCGGACCTGGATTTCACTTGAGCACTCAGCTCTTGCTGTGTGCTGATTGGTCAGTCTCCTATAATCATGCATGTGTCACTAATGCTAATGTGAAACAGCTGGATGAGTCTTTCAGTCAAGGAAACAAACCAGTCAAAGCACAAGAAGAGCTAAACTATTTAGCCGAGCACAGGAGCCTTTCAATTAGAAAGTAGTTTGTAAAATCCGAAGTAGCTCAAAGTGTCCTCCCTGACATGGATTGTCTGGTCACCCTAATGTAAACATGTTAGTCCAACTGAAATTGCACTAAATTGAATTTTGTAGTGCAAGTCGGATTGACACACAGATACTGTAATACGAGTGTGAATAATCGGACTGAAACTGGCCTAGATGCCCTGCACATGCTCCACAGTCTCTCCCCCCCCCCCCCCCCCCCGGGCTTTGACCTGGAAGTAACAGAAGAAGCCGGTACACAGAAGAAGCTTGGAGCAAAGCAGAGGACGTACAGCACGTATGAAATGTACAGCACTGTAAAACTGTCCAGTTCACTGCTCAACTAGGGTGCTTTTCCACTGCACCAGGTACTTTAGGTACTTCAATAAGGTACTAAAAGTATGGTACTTCCAAGGTGTAGGTTTTCCACTGGTGTAAAAACTGGTACTGTTGCCGAATGACATCACAACATGAGGCGGGGTATTTCGTACTGAAAATGGCTGTAGTAGACTAGACAACATTGCATGTTATGCATATCCAGTTATCTTCTAGATTAAGATCAGGCTTTTTCTTACCTTACAGATATTATAGCGCAGGGAGTATAAGTCTCACAAAAACATTTTTACTTTGTCATAGGAAAAAAAACCTAGCAAGTTTTGCAATTTTAATGATTATTCCATTTCAAGATTATCTAGTATATGTTTAAAAAGCAGTTTTTAAGTTTACCCCCACTGCCTTTGCATGAGCACTGCATGTGTTCTCCAAGACGATCGTAATCATTTTCATCCTTGCTGTTTAAATCACTTTGTGAGAGATTTATTTTGAACTCCTTTTTCATTTCATAAATACCCCAATATATGTATTACAACAAAATCTCATTGCAATATTAGAAAAACTAAAAATGAAAGGATAATAAATTAAAATACCATAATTTTTTTTATAAATTTAAGTAATTGATTTAAAATGGCCACCATCTAAGAAATAAAATTTGTGAAACACAATGGTAAGAAAAACATCCACTGCATCCTGTAGTAATTATTGCATTTGTTGGATTGGGTATACATATGTTTTTGAGACCAGTCTGCTGCAGCTGCCACAGATGATTTCTTGTTGAGAACTCAAAAACCATTTGGTGGATCTTTTTCAAACTTTGCAGAGGCATTGTATGGGTGAGGAACTGGAAATGATTTTTTTTTAATGGATTGCCCCAAAATTGAAGCAGCCCATAATGACAGAGGGCCTGAAGTCAGCATCTTGTGATCACTACCTGCCATCTAAGCATTCTAATGATATTTTTGCAAACTTCCCAGGAACATTGTAACAGTGTTTTCGATCTCTCCTTACAACGAGCTGATTTGGGAGTTGCTAGCTTTACTAAAAAATAAAATGCCATGTCAAGAAAATATCCCATTTATCCCATATTTCGTACACGTTACCATGCGTACTTCTTTGTTTGGGGGGGGGGGGCTGGGGTTGAAATCCTTTATTGTAACGGGGGGCGGGAGGATGGGTGTTGGATGACTCAATATAAATGTTTATTCTTATATTTTAAAATTATTATTGTTCTTATTTATATATGATCCAGACCTACTGTATACAAGCTGCAGGTGTACGCTATGGACTTGAGAAGGTTTTTAGGGTCACCTGAGTGCCTGACAAGACCGAGTCCATTATATGTGGACTCCAGACCAGACCGGAGTACCACAACTCTGGCATTTGGGTTTTTTCCATATTTTGGAAGGGAAAATACCAAAGGCACGTTTAATATCCCTTTATGTTCTTCAGCCTGTCGTCTGAATAGATCCATAACTGACAATCTGAAATATAGTTTAAATATAGTCACCTAAGCCCTGCCCAGCCAAATGGATAAGAGTAGCTCGTGCTCTAGAATTGAAGTGGCGTGCATAACTATTATGGACATCTGGTTAAATGTATCCTCGAGGTGACTGTGGTACGGATTATTTTGGGCCTGCTCAGATTCAGTATTCACTGTTCCAGGGAGCATTCAGCATATATTTTTGTTTTGTACCACTAAAGAGGTGTTGGGTTTGTGTCTGTTGCTGATGAAATAATGGCAGGGGGGAATGGAGAAATGATGTACACATCTGTTTGTTTATATTAGAGTGGATGTGTTGAAGACTGGTACATGTGAGAGAAGGTGGTATTCAGGTAAAAAAAAAAGACCTTCTGAACCACAGAAGTTGTCAGCGGAGTTTCACCTGCTGCTCAGAGTAGGTTAGTGTAGGGATTCTTAGGAAGATAAAATGTTATCCTGGCAATTAAAGCGATATCTCGGCTTGGCATAGCACATCTCAGTACTTTCCAAAAGGCTTAAAATAAAGGAAGGTAGTGTTCTGTAGTGGTTATGATTCTCTGAACAAGGTGATTAGCAGAACAAGGTACACTGTGGCACCTGATGTCAAGAGCTGTTGGTGAGAAATTATTTCAGACAGTTTTTGGGTGACATAAAGAATTTTCAGGCATTCTCATAACATTTTGGTTGATTATGTATGAATGATGTTTCAGATTGAATTGGTTTTGCTTTGTGAGAAGTCTGAGAGACTGGTCTGCAGATAATTATTATGATTATTTTTGCAAATTTGCCATAGACTGTGTGGTATGAAGGCAACTGACTTTTTAAGTGCACTTATACAGTTTATGTAAAAAATTGTTTGTTTTGTATGTCTTTTCTGAGTGTATTAATTCTTTCTATTTGTGTGTATAAAAGCCAGAGATTCTGGAAAACACTGAGTGGAAAGAGCCTAACAACTTTGTGCTTAATTGACAGCTTGATATGTTATAGCAAAGGTAATCTGTATATATATGGTAACACATTAATTAATGAGTGCTCAAAAAAAACAAATAAAACAAACAAATAAAACAAACAAAGTGCCTTGGAGAAAAATATATCTCAGCAAATGGAGCATGTGTTGTTGTTTTCAAAAGCAGATCAAAGCTCCTCTTGGGGATGGATATTTTTTCTGTTTCTCCTGATATGACAATCATGGCTCATTAATAAGAGATTTAAAAATTTTGTGTTCTTTGTAGTTTATTGGCAGTTCAGTCCAGATCAGATGATAATTTTAAACATACCGAACCTTATGAGCGCAATCCAAGATGTTACATGTTTGCAGAACTTTTATTGTCTACTTAGTCAACCACTAAAATGTCATTTTTGGTGTTGGATGATATGAATTATTAAAAATCTTTATAGTTTTAGTATATAGCATGCAAGCATTTAACCAGTTGATTGATACTTTGAGATAATTTTGCACTGGAAATTTTAAAATGTATAGTAATGTAAAAATGTTTTTCGTATTTAGTTGAATCTTTTGTGTGTGACATTCAATTGCATGCTTGGATCTCGTATCTGATCTTAGGATGTTTTTTTTTTTATAACCTGTTTACTAAAATGAAAAATCTCCCCAAGTCCCTTAAACAGCTTGTATTTTCTATATCCATTTGCTTGAGCCAATTCATCTTGTGCTGCTTCTGGAGACCTGACAGAACTGGAAGCGTTTGTTAACTTCAGTTCTGTGGCTGGCATTTATGTTGTTAGCCATTTTTTCCCCTTTTGTGCACCCAGGGAAGCTTCATATTACTGGATGCCCAAACATGAATATGTAAATGCTGCAGAATCTCCATCAATACCTGTCATGTGATAATGCATATGCAGGCTGCACCCCTCTATGCTGCATGTTGATATACCACAGATGGAGCAGGAACGCAGGTTTACCAGCTGGACTTCATGTTAAATTCAATAATACATGCATGTTTCTTTGGCAGGACCTGTTGTTTTTGTATGACACTGGGCAAAACTTTGTGTGTGGTTGGGCATTTGAACTTCTGGCCCGAGATTCCTGGCTCACATTTCATATTAGTTGGGGGAAAGAGTAGAAATAGTGAATGAAATATTGATCCACCCTATTCTTTCTGTTATCCTGTATCCATAGTAAGAATATAATGCCACGAATGTTGGTTATAATTACTGATATCTTCTAATCTGTCACTGCACTGCAGCGAGATTAATCGCCTAGACCTCGGCCTGATCGTGGAAGTATGGAACAAGGGACTGATCTGGGACACCATGGTGGGTACAGCTTGGATCCCCCTGAAGAGCATCCATCAGTCAGACGAGGTAAGGGGCCATTCATACCTGTGACTGCAGTTTTTATACATCCAGTCAGCTAGTAGTAGGTACCTAGTAGTAGGCACCTAGTAGTAGGCACCTCACAAACAAATTAGTGAAAGATGTTTGCAAATTATTTGGAAAATATGCTTTGGGAGTATAGCTGTGGTCTGTGAGTGATGCTGGGGTTGTTAAGCCCTTATTATACAGACATGGAATGACACATCACTGAGATTTGCATGAAACATTTAATATTACTCTTAATACGTAACTGCCCCCTTTTATTCTTTACTGTTATTTCTCCATCTTTTGTCACATCTGATGTGTGTTTCTCTTTTTGCATTTATAGTTGTGCCTTTGTATATTTGCCAGGTTTCCTATGAGGTACAGGTATAGAAAAGTATGGAATTTGATTTTGGTATTTTCCAAGTCTGAATAACTGGAATAAAGAAAGGAAAGGGTGGAAATATTTTGATGTGTCCAGGCTATTGCAACAAATTGGTTTGCTATGTATTATATATAATCTACTTTTTCTTTTTGATGATGGAATTTTAAAATGGAAAGTATGTGGGAGTCCTGATCTGCTTCATCTCTAACCTCTTGTCACATCTCTAGCTCCTTGCCTTTCACTGCCTCAGTCTGACTCTCCATCTCTGTCACAGCCTGTCACATTCTGCCTCTCTTTTCTTTGGGTTTTTCTTTTTGTTTGTTCTTTTAGGAGGGCCCCGGTGAATGGACCTTTCTCGATTCTGAGGTGCTAATGAAGGCAGATGAGATCTATGGCACCAAGAACCCCACGGCCCATCGCCTTCTGCTGGACTCGCACTTTGAGCTACCTTTCGGTATGTGTACTTCCCTTGCACTGAATCAAATGATCCCCCACAATATATAGCAATGAGTTATGGTTTGGTATGTTTTTGATCCCAATAAATTCATGAGTCTTGCTGTGGTTTTAATATAATGCTTGCTTCTCTGTTTTGTATTGGTTGGTAATATTGTTCGGAATCCAGTTTCCCATTACATTCTGAGTGAACAGACATCTACTGTCAGATTATAGACAATAACTGTGTGTTTGACTCACCCATTTTTGTTACACTAACATAATTTGGCCGATTTATTGTAATAGTGTCAATTGAATGAACCTTGGTCAAGTAGGTTGAACCCCTCGCCAGGGGCAGGGCTAGAAATTCTGGGCCCCCTGACAAAATGTCATCCACTAGGGTTGCCACTTGTAATCTGAAGGATTATGGGTCCCCCATGGTAGATGGAATTTGCAAACGGAGGTATTATGTTCCCTAAACATAAATTATAACTTTTGTTTACAAGGGTCCCTATAAATGACTATGCCCCCTGAATCTGCCTGGGTGTCCCTGCCCCTCCAACACCCCGACACCTGCCCTTTAATATATAGAGTGATGTTCTAAGATACAATGATGAGTCGGGGCCCAGCCTGTCATCTATTACAGACACGTTGTATTGTTTTGATATGCCCATTGAGAGATCCCTGTGAACGTGGCCGCAGATTCTGGTGCTCGCCATTGAAAGGTTACACTTCCTGGAAAGGCTTTTTGGTTCAATGACTCTGGCTGCTTTGACTGCATGTTATTGAAGTCATTCATTCAGCCTAATGTTTCATCTTTACCCCTTTGAAGTTCCTGCCCCCTCGTTCTGTTCTGCTTTCCTTTGGAGACCAGAGTAGTGTACAATAGGAAGTGTTTGTAAGCAAATGATTTTATAGCTTATAAATAGAAACACAATTGTATTCTAGTCTAATACTTATTTACTAGCTGGGTTGACTTGTCTTGCATAGTTTCTGTTTCCTTAAGGAGATCTGCAATTCCTATGCTAATGATTGTCCAATGATGCAGGTGAATTGAATAGAAAATGGATGGATATGTTTATTATGGGTGAAAAGACACATCGAAGCATTGTGATGGATTGATTATTAAGTGCGCAATTCAGCTGCATCGATCTATATCGAACGTCAGAATTGATTTTTGGGGGCAAAATCTTCCTTAATCTTCCTTAAAGGTAAAGATACACCTACTGCTGGTTGTGCACTTTTGTATTCACATGCTAAATGTAGACAAAAAAGCTATCAGCTGCAGTATGCAAATTTTCCAAACAAAAGATGACAGGGGGAGGTTCATTAAAATTCATAAAGGAATATTAATTATATACTTACTGTACAGCTGGATCAGCTGACTGCATTATGTTCTTTGGGCTATAATACTTTATGGAAACTGTTTTGTAGTGCAGAACAGTCTCTCTGGTGTATAAGAATCTTTGCGCAGTGATGCTTTTGTAGCGTAAAAAAGTTTTTTTTTTTTTTGCTAACTACAGTAGCAATGATCAAGACTCTGAGGAAGCTAACTAGCTAGCTAATTAAACAGTAGTGTTAGCCTTAGAGATGCACGACATATTGGTTAACATACCAGTATCGACCAAGATTTGTTAAAAATCGCGATACCGACATTGGTCCATTGGCCGATATTGCAAGCAGATATTTATTTTAATAATAAATAAATATTTTAATGTTCAAAGTTAGCAGCACCAGATCTAAAGACACAACTACTAAACTACTAATCAAATAATCGATACATTGGATCGAATCGTGATAGAAAAAGATTTATGATGCATTGAATCATTCCCTCAATCATAATGGAATTGGTTTGTGGCCTGCGATTTACAACCCTAATGTTTATACAAATCCTTCTAGTTGGAAACTCTCATGCCTTTTCACTAAATGAAAACATGACTGTGACTTGGAACAGAAAATGATTTTTTTTTTTTAAAGATTCTACAGAAGTCTAAAGTAAGACACGTTCTTATGGAAGTGAATATATAATCCTTTCAGCCAATCCTCCAACCACTTGTCTAGTATAGAGGGGAGAATATGTATTGAAGGTACCAATTTGGGATGGAAAAATACCAGTCTCTGTTTTCTCTGGTCTCCAGATATACCGGAAGATGAGGCTCGGTACTGGACTTGCAAATTGGAACAAATCAACACCATGCGGATACATGACGAGGTGTGGTGTTTTGTGACAGACATGTTCGTTCTTTCTTTCTTTCTTTTTCTTTCTTTCTTTCTTTCTTTCTTTGTTTCTTTCTTTCTTTCTTTCGTCGTCTGAAAAGAACACTGCTGACATCTTATGATTTTATCTATTTTCAAAGGACATTATGCATTGAATAAACAGATTCTATTAAATGTAATTCAATTTAAATTGACTTGTTTGTTAAATAATATTTGACACTTTTTTAACCAAAATATGATGCCTTACTTGCTTAGGATATTATTGGCTCTATGATGATATGGCAGCCTTGACAAAGATGAAAATATCCGATTGTTGTGTTTGTCAGCTTGCTTTGTTACTCGTGTCGGGAGTTGCCGAATGAGCCCAGTTTTGTAGGTATGGTACACTTGTATGTGCATGATTTTGATGAAATGCCTTTGCTGTGCACAGCTGAGATCAACAAGTGCTTCTGACTGCATGATAAATGAAGCTGATAATTTGAAGTGAACTTGAAGTGAATACAGATATTCAGGGCAAGTTGATAATGATGTCATTTATAACATTGCTTCCTTCCTTCCACCATTTTTCATTAAGGACCCCTTGCAAGATGAAGTTCAAAGAAGACCACTGCCATCGGCCGCCTCGCAGTGCTGTGAGTTTCAGTAATAACCTCTTGTAGACAGGTTCTGATGAACAATGGGTTTCGTACACTAAACACCACAGACATCATAGAAATAGTCCTGAGGGATTTTTTTTGGATTTCATATGGAATAATTTGCAATAATAAATAAAGTGCTGATAATTGAAAGAGTAACAGAATAATAATTTTGAACCCCTGAACTTTCTTAGTGAATCATTTTTCTGTGAAAATGTCACGTATATTACATATTTTATATCCTTCTCCAGAATGTACTCCATTTTTTAATGTTCATGTTTTTATAGCATGTTTGCCTATTTTTATTTATTTATTTATTTATTTATTTATATCATTTAACCTTTATTTTCCCAGTCATTAAGAACAATTTCTTATTTACATTGACAGCCTGGCAAAAGAACTTTTTCTTTTTCAGTGTTGAAAGAGTAATTGTATATTGTGTGCCGTGTATCTCTGAAGCATAGAATTCATTATTAATGTTATAAAGAAACAAGAAAAGCTTGTAATTGCTGCTAGAGCCTGTCGCCAGTTACTTTCGGTATGTGAACTTCAGTTTAAAAAATTTTGCCTTTTGCTTGGTGAAAAAGTTTTTGATTCATTGGATATTTAGCAAAATTAGTTTTGTTTTCTTTGTATCACGTTTCGTGTGAAACGGCTTTAAGCTGGGAGAGGTGTGTGGCTCAGCAGGTTAGGAAACTGTGCCCGTGATGGGAAGGATGCTGGTTCAAATCCCATGGTTCACAGAGTGATGTCACCATTGGGTTCCTGAGGAAGGCCCTTAATCCCCAGTTACTCCAGGGATTGGCAGACCCTGCATCTCAAAGTTGTATGTCAATTTGGATAAAAGCATCTGATAAATAAATATAATTTGTACATATGATAAAAAATGTAAACTGTCAGCTCATGGAAGTGCACAGAAACCAGCTTCCTTCGCTATTATTTACAATACATACTCATACTCTGTTTAGAAAATATCCCTATTCTAGTTTCTAGCATGATGTCAGTGAGCCAAGAGCTGGAGCATCAAGACTGTCCATAACCACAAATTTGCATTTGGTCGGGTTTTACTTGGATCCTCTAGCCACTTGAATGAAGTGTAAGAGTATGTAATAAACAGGAAGTGGGACGTAACAGGTGCCTTTTTAAAATCAGGTATATTGTGTAGAGGCTCATGGTGATTTTGCCACTAGATGGGGATATTTATCTAGTCTTTACACAGAACGTACACAGAAGATCTCATACTCCCCTTTACCAGAACTTTCACTATGCATTGCCTAGATTTAACAGTGTCTTTACATTTTGTATTATTATTTAAAATAATTAAAGCATCAAGAATAGTAGTTAAGTAAAAAAATGTAGTTCAATATGCATTTTTTTTTATTTGCCAGTTTTTTTGGACTTGCTTTTCGTCTAAATGACTCGTCTTAGGGATGGTGAGCTTAATTTCCAGCCCTGCTTATCTTAGCTGTGAAGTCAACAATATACATCTGACCTCTCTTAGACTTGCTCAGACAGGTCCTGTGATGATTCCCCCTTTTGTTAAAGTAATTTTGGTTATCTTCATGCACTTCACCCTCTTAGGTGTTTTCATGGTTACTACCTCATAGGAGGAACATGACAGATTGTGCCCAAGCAAACTCACATCTTTGTGAACAGGAATAATATTGTTTGAAACAGTGGCCTAGCAGGACCTCAGAGTTTTAAAAATGAATCTTGTGTAATGAGTGGGTATATATTGTCTGTAGTTATTGTGTTCAATTGTTGCATTTATTGGTGCTTTGGGTTTGTTATTTTTTCTGAAAATAGAATTCTGACAGTTGCTTAGAATGTTTCCATTTGCTGCACGTTATTTTATAAATCGATTACAAACAACTGTTTGTACAACAACTCTTTTCCAAATCTACATACCTTTCAAACATACTTGTTTAGCTTTTCTGTACTGAAATCTTCCTTGAGCCTGTTTTTCATCCCTACTCCATTTATTTTCTTCTGCTATCATTTGCATCCTTAGGCTACTTTTTTGGATGGGGCGATTCTCAGAGTATGTAGCTCTTTTTGATTAACACCTATTTCGTCATAAGCCCCCTCTGGCAATTCCTTGGTGCTCAATGCATGCTTTCTGCCTTATGCAGGTATGTCCTGCATCCAGGGAGGATATTCATGCACTGGATGAGTCCTTTCTATCCATTTTTCCATAGTCCTCTACCATTTTTCTTTGCCCTTTTCACACAAACTGGTATCATCTGCATTATTCTTTCCCTGTATCCTGCCTAGAAACCTGTCTTCCTCTGAAAGGGAGGAATCCAGCACTCATTCATTTCATCCTTGCCCAGCTAAACGGTGTGTGGCTGGATATTTTTATCACCCTGCCACATTTGGCAATTTGCAAACTTTCTCAGTGATGGTTCTATAAGCAATAGACCAGTGAATCCTTACCCAGTCCTTAGGGAGCCCCAGACAGTCCACATTTTTGCTTCCTCCCAATTTCCAGTTCAATTAAATTTAATTCAGTTTTACTCGTACAGCACATTTTCACAACATTGTCTCAAAGCACTGTACATTATCCCTGCCCAAAGCCACCAGTGAGCAAGCCAGAGGTGACAGTGGCAAGGAAATACTCCCTAGTAGGAAGAAACCTTGGGAGGAACCAGACTCAAAGGGGGAGCCCAGCAGAGGAAGTCAAATGAGCAAGATAACTAACATGTGTACTAGGTATTTGGTGTTCTTGATTGTTTGGTCCAGGCATAGGTGGTTCTAGACCCTATTTATGGTATCTTCAGCCACCTTATGTTCTTTGTTTCAGTCCCCCTGAAAGATTATTTTACTAAATCCATTTACATGATCAATACCTTGGTAAATTATGTCAGAAATTTAGATCAAAATGCAGTTTTGTGCCACAGACATGGTATTTAAAATGTAGGCTCATTTGTCTGTGTATGGACAGGTTGATGGTTACTCTTTTAGTGATTTGTCCCATACTTTCATACACATTTCAGAGCCCCTTCCCTCAGCTTGGCTCATTTTGTTGTGGGTCTCGTACTTCTTTGAAAGTAACAGCCTCACTAGGGGCTGAACCTGCCCTTACGGTCAAATCCTACAATTTCTCCTGGGTTCTGGTACCTGGGAGGGAGCAAAAAATGTGGACTATCTCTGGGTCCCTAAGGACTGGGTTGAGAAACACGGCTGTACATATATACACGGGCTGCCTCAGGCAGCAGGGATAGAAGACAAGTTGACTCAATTAGGAATTTATATATTTTAATGAGAGGTACTAACCTGAAGACCATGATGTGTTTATATTTGTTTCAGTTTTTCTTTGTAATTACTTGTATGCTCAGTAGTACAGACGCTCCTCTACTTACGAAGGAGTTATGTTCTGAATGGCTGTTTGTAACTTGAAATGTTCGTAAGTCGTTATTCAACATCATTTTAAAGGTACTCAAATCTACATGCATAAGTAAGTATGATATAAAGTCAATACATGTTTTCTTTTCCTAAAACACATTACTAATGATACATAAAACAAAAATGGATGGTGGATGCACAGAATATTTCGCAATAAAAACGAAGTAAACTTTGATCTCTAGAGCACTGGGATGCTGGGAGTACGCAGGCTACGCTGCTGCGCAGCGGGAGTAGCGGCCAGAATTCATACTATGCGGAATTGGCGCGCAGAACAAGAATTGATGTTGTGGACAGGAAACGGGAGCCCAACGAACACAATTTGGACTTACAGTCCTCTTCGTTCGTATGTCTGAAAGTTTGTAAGTTGGAAGTTCGCAAGTAGAGGAGCGCCTGTATTTGCTATTTTATACTGTAATGAAATTACCTCAACTTAAAACTATGCAGGCCTTGGGTTATACATTTCCTGCTCAGTTAATCCTTTGAAATATTGAAAGATGGAGAAAGGTTGCTGGCACATTAAAGAATCTGTAACCTGGTGCATGCTATGGTGTAGTGAGTTTATGTTTTAGGGGAAATTTGTTTTAGTAACTAACATTTCCACAACTTTTCAAGGAAAAGAAGATAAAAATTTAATTGAAACAACTGTGTATATTGTATGTTTTATATTATCATGAACGCCCCCCATTCAGGGTACGGTTATTTCCATATCCATTTCCACTGCCTAAACCATGTGTTTTTATGGGGTAAGAATCCTCACATATCTGTGCATGAATATTTGAACCACTGGCCGAATTGAGCATGCGTACCCACCCTGCACCTTCTCCTAGCCAGTACCTCATAGTACACTGACCCTAAAGTTGTAGGGATTGGTAAATTATGGAGCGAGAATGATGTTTTACATGTTCAACTTGAATGTTTGCTCATTTGTCTTTGTACGTGTGTTGTACTGTGTGTGCTGTTTGAGTAGTGTGTATGTGAAGTATTTTTGGATTTTATGAATTGTGTTGAGGGGAGATGCTTTTCTGTGTTTTTTTTCCATCCACACCAAAGTATACTCCTAAAACTGATAGTTTCAATGAATGTAAGGGCTTATTATTTATCTGAAATTATATCCCAGTTTTAAAGTGTGGTGTGAGATATGAATGTGTGTGTGTCTTTGTCTTTAGTTGTGGTTGTTGTTAACAATATGTGGTTTTCTGTGCATTTGTGTCAGTGACATTTCTATTGTACATGTGTTAACTTGTGGACGATGTGCGTTGTTGAGTGTAAATCATACCTGGGCTTGTCCCTGAGGATAAAGACTGAAAAGAGGTATATTTTTAGACAGTTTTTTTTCTACTCTCTCTGACTGCCTATGGAAATAATGCATCAGAATTTCATATTTACTTCGCTTGTGTCTGAAGAAAGCATGAATTAAGCATGTGCTACAGTGCTTATGAGTACACTGTTCTTTAGATATTTTTACATCCATTTGCAGAGTGCAATTTTATTGTGTCCTTTATCTTATAGACCCTGGCCTTCAGCTGTAACCTTCTTGCCAATGTCCAGTCATACTGGCAGCTGTTCAATGGACTTATTGTGATTTTAATCCATGATAAGTGCTTACAGTATTTACACATTAATAGCGGTACCGCTCTCCCTCCTGTCTCCACTTCTGTGTTTTGGAGCCTGTCTTGTTGTCCCACAGCCCTTGATGACCATGACAGTGCGGTGGATGACCGGGACAGTGACTACCGCAGTGAGACCAGCAGCAGCCTGCCCCCTCGATACCACAGCACAGCACAGCCCAATTCCTCCTTGCACCAGTATCCCATGGGGTCTTTGCTGGCTCAGCAGGCTGAATCCCGGGAGTCGTGCACAGAATCCATGCAAAGCTATGATATGGACTGCAGGGAAAACCACGGCACCAGGTATGCACCATTGACACAGTGCTGCCCTCTCTGGAAGCTCACTGAAAGTGCATAAGACTTACATACTGTAATTGTTTTCATTATAATGTTTAATTTTAATTGCAAATACTTCCTTTGATATTAGTAACTGAAGTTTATGTATTGCACTGGATTGCAAATTAAGGATGTCACCTTCATTTGCAGCTTGGTATGAAATTCAGTTCTACATAGATTAGAAAATAGGATTATAGTTTGTGTTTCTATTTTTAGGAATATTGTAGTAAGTGGAAGTATTTGTCTCGTCCATGTGACAGGTTGCAGGAATGCAACTTTTTCCCCCCTCTGCATCACTTTAGCATTTCCTACTTTAATAATGCTAGAAAATTGGCTGGTAGAAAAATGTCATTGTTCACCTAGTAAAACATCCACTTGGTCAAAAAAATTTAAGTTTAGTTTTTTGTTTTGAATTGCTAATATTTTAATTACAAAAACTAACAAATGCACTTTAGAGTTCCCTTTCTGTTCCTGCATTGTGAAGATCTTCATTTTCTTCTTTACTTTCTTGCTCTTATATGTCAGTGTTTTTATAATTCTATACTGTAATGTATTTATGCATATATATATATATATATAGGTGGATTGGAAATAAATTCACAGATCATGGTGATAAAATGAAATTGGTTGACCTACTAATGCATGCAGTGGCTTATTTGTCTTCTGCTAGTATAACAGTGAGTTGGGCAGGTGAATATTACATAATAAGTAAAGTATAAATAAATAAAATAGATGCAAATATTATAAATTTAACATTGAAATGTCATTACTGGTTTGTATTTCTGTCGTGTGAAATGATAAAGATGTTTTTTTGCATGTTACCAGTGTTATACATCCGTTTGCATGTTGCTGAATGTCTCATTTTGCTGTGAATCTCTTTTACTGTTTGCTTCTTTCTTTCTTTGTTTGTTTGTTTTTTCTTTTTTCACCTTCTTTACTTCCTCCTCACACCCATAGAACTCCAAACAGTAGAGGTAGGGTCAGGATTATTCCTGTGGATACTGGGATGGGTGTAGAAGATTGGGAGAGTAAATACCAAGTACAAAGGAGGAATGAGCAGCTGAAAAAAGAGGAGCAACTATGTGCTGATTGGTGCAATAGCAGCACTGTCAACATGACTGGAGCTATAGGGGGGGACACCTACGGTAGCCCAGAGCATATCTCCTACCTTGAGGATTATGGCACCTTGAATAAATGCCATAAAAAGAGACTGCAAGATCATAATTTGAAAGCCCACAGGGATGCAGGAAGATATGACTCTTTTCTCACTGACTTCTCCGTTCCTCACTCGGCTCAGAGCCTGCAACAAAAAAGAGTGGAGCAAATGCTATGGCAAGTGGCCGAAATGGAGGAGAAGCAGATGATGCGGCCATATAAAAAGAGTCTCCATAAGACCAAAATGAGGGAGAGAAATAATTTGGAAGACGCTCTGGAAAGTTTTGAGGCATCTCAAGAAGGAAAAGTGATGGTGACCGAATATGACTCTGAGGACTTGGATGAGCTGCAAAATTCTTGGGGATCTGAAGAGGATCTTGAAGAGATTGCTTCTTTAGCAGAAGCTATCTGTTCAGAAAATGGGAAACACTATAGCTTGAACCAGTACACCGTCCTCCATAGAAATTGTGCTGATAAGCTTCAGGTTTACCATGAAAGGAAAGTTAATGGGAAAATCAGAGGATGGGTCCCTGATACCATACTGTCTCCTGTAGAAGAGCCAAGTGATGAGTATGTTGACCCCATGGATGAGCTGCAGTGTCTAGTGGACACTGTGTCTGAGTACCTAGCAGAGAAAGAGGAAGAGATCAGCAGATATGGATCTCTGCCAAAGTCAACAAAGTTGAGGCAGTCATCAGAAGCGAACACAAAAAGTGACTCTGAAGACCAGAGTGAGGCATCTGAAAAGGCTAACGATGTCATTCCTACTGTAATGAAACCAAAAAAAGATGATATGTCAAATGAGGAAGGTCTAGCCGGGGTAAAGAATGCTGTAAGCTCCTTGTTTAACTGCATCTCTGAAAAGGTTAGCTCTGGTTCTAAACCTGTTTCTGTGGAAAAGGTGGCAGCCGATGAAGCACCAATTTCCACTGAATCTGGTATCTCCAAGTTTTTTTCTTTTATTCCTAAGCCCACCACCACAACGCCAGTTGCTGTTGTTTCCCCTGCCCAAGAGCCCGCACCCAGTAGGAGGTTTTCCTTACAGTCCCTGCTGCCTTTTCAGTCAATGGATACAAAAGAAACTGCACACGATGGCAATCAAAACACAAGACCAGACAGTGGAACTTCTCAGGAAGACCACACTGATAAAGGCCTAAGGTTCACTACAAACCAGTCATTGTCTGCTGTCAGCTCCATACTTGAGAAGATAAGTTCCTTAAAGCTCTTCTCAGATGATGATATATCAAAATCCTCTGAAGAAAACAAACTTCATGGACTGAGTGACTCTAAAGAAAATTCTGTCGATGTTATAAAAGTTAGTTCTCCAGATATGCAGCATCTGGATTCATGTGAAGTACTAGACAATGAAAGAAGATATCAGAAAAGAAGCAGTAGTTCTGATCTCCTGCATGGAAAAGAAAAGGACGAAAAGGCAGAGGTTAAGAAAGTCACCCAAGAATGTCAATCTCAAGTGGATGGACAACCCATCACCCAAGAGGAAAATGAATTCTTTAGCTCTTTGAAGAAACCATTCAGCTCATTTATTGCATTAAGTTCTTCTGAAGTCTCCCAAAGTCAAATTTCACCAGCATCCTCATTGTTTTCAACAGATGACGTTAGAGTACCCTCACAAAAATTAAATGAAATAACGTGTTCAAGGCAGCTGAAATTTCCCTGTGACAATGATGTAAGCAGCTCCAAAAGTGTCTTTCAAGATCAGGAACAAATAGAAAGTAATATCCCTGAAATTATTAGGAAAACGCACTTAATGGATTCTGATGCTCCTAAAGCACATTCTTCTTTTCCAGAAAGACAGTCTAAGGCTAATCCCGAGACATCTTGGTTTTCTACCCTCTTTAAGATAAACTCTAATGAGAATATGAATGTTCCTCAAGGACGACAGCAAAGTCAGTCACAGGATGCTCACACTGTTTCTAATTCAACCCTTCAAACGCAAAACATTCTTCGTGATCAGCAGCAGCATTTACCCTCAACCAGAGATCCACACAATGTGAAAGCTGATGACGACAAAATTATGTCAAAAGTTAATGAACAAATGCCTCGAGCTCAGCCACAAGGTTTAATATCTGGCCTTTTAAATATTACTTCATCAAACAGTCAGTCTCGGTCGGGAGGACTGCTATCAGGGCTTTTCAAATTAGGCTCCTCTGAACAACAAATACAAACTAACAGTTGGCCAGTTGAGAGCATAAATCAACACAATACAAGTGGCCAAAATCAAAATTCATCCCAGGAAGGTGCAACGCATTCTGAGAATGTATCGGGGAAAAACCACACAGAACCACCTCAATGCAAGGTACCACCAAGTTGTAACAGATCATCTCAATCGAGGCATCAAACACAACAAACTAAGATTTTGGATTTATCAGACCATAACAAACTTCCCTCACAGCAAACTGCGGCACATCCTTTTCAACCAGGTGTTCTCTCTGGGCACTTTAGATTTGCTTCTTCAAATAATGTGTCTTCAAATGACCAGACACCCATAATGCAACAGCAGCCAGGACCACTAGGTTCCCATATTTTAGAGCAGAGCAACAGTAATAATCTCCAAAGTCAAAATCAAGCCTGTCAACCTCCAAATATAACACTTCCAAACCACCAGCATGAAAACTGTTCCCAGACCCCAGGTCAAAGTGGTAATCTGTCTCAGCAACCAGTAGATCAAGAAGGCCACCTTTTTAGACAGTTAAAATTAGTTGCCTTAGATGATGAATCTAATGACCCAAATCCAACTCAACAGCAGACAGAACCGGTCCAAGATATTCCAAGTCAGCAACAAGAAAATGGGCCAAATATTGCTCAGTCACAAAGTACAACGCCCCCTTCATCAGATGGACTGGGCTGTCATTTTGTTTCAGAAACTGTGTCTATGTCACAGGAGTCGCAGCCCTTCTTTATCAGTCAGTTTACCCAGCAACAGAAAGGTGGGCTAAATACGTTTTGTGATGATCAGAAGTCACTTAAAGAGACACTTAGTCAGTCAGGTAGATTTCTATCTGGGCTGCTTAAGTTTCCCTCTTCAAACAATGGAACAGTATCTCAGCACTCCACAATACAGGGGCAACAAATTCACTCTGTTGATCAGTTAATTCAGTTGCAAGCTAATGGACAGAATAGGTCAGTGCAACAACGAAATGTCCAGACTGAAGGCACATCACAACAAGCCAGTCAGTCAAGGGGTCTAGTTTCTAGTCTTTTTAAAATAGGCTCTGTGGAGAATGTATCCCCTCAACAAGAGATGCCATCAAAAAACCTGACAAATCAACCAAAAGCAAAATCACCAGATGTGATAAGGAAAAATCTGAATTCCCCTCTTCTGTTGGCTCCATCAAACAGAACAAATAGCTTGTCTGGAATGTTTAGCAAGTTAACCAGATCTTCTGATGAAGTTTTAGCAAATAATACTCCTGCAGACCAAGTGAAATATCAAGGGAATCCAGACAGTCTTATAAGACGAAGAAGGATTCAAGGATCCCAAACTTGTGTGCAGCAACATCTTCCTGAGACAGTGCAAAAAACATCTTTAAAACAAGGGGTTTTCTCTGGGCTCTTCAATCAAACTTCACATGAAAATAACAGCTCCTGTGAAACAGAAAAAATATGGTCATATACAGAAGATAGGTTTAGTAGTGGAAGTCCTTCAGAATGTGAAAACAAGAGAAAAGACTTTGATTGCATAATACTTGAGCAAAATATGGAGAATGTTCAGAACACGTCAGTGTTCTCTAATACAGAATGTTTGGATTTAAGGACATCTACCTGTTGTGCCGCATCCCAAGATAGTCTGG